GTTTTGTTGTTGTTGTTGTTGTTGGTGGTGGTGGTGGTGGTGGTGGTGGTGGTACATTTGACCGAATTCTTTCTTTTCGGTTTTTTATTTGCGCGGACGTTACTTATTGGTGATTCTGCCTCTTTACCCCTCCCTCTCCCTGTGTGTGTGCGTGGTGGGGCGAGGTTGGTCGCCCGTATCTTTTGTTGTGTGTGTGTGTGTGGGAGAGAGAGAGAGGAAAAATGAAAGGAGGGAATTTGAGGGTTGCCTGTTGTTTTTTTTTTTTTCTTCTGGTTTCTTTCTGTAACGCTGTTGGGGCTGTGCATGTGCGCAGTCTCTTGTCCGGTATTAAAGGCGGGTTGAGTGGGGAGCAGCCCAACACGCACGCATCGTTTTAGAATTGGCAGGTCGCAGGGCCCACGTGTCGACACATAAATACGGGGAAAAGAAGGAAGAAAGCGAACAGGCATGGAGCTCCGTGAACGCGCCGAACAGATGATTAAACCGCAGACGCCCATAGTCATTCCTCCCGTGACGCGAAGCATCCGTCAACTAACTCGCATGGAACGCCTCGCAGCGAATCGCCGCTGGCTACGCGGGGCGATGTGTTTTTTGGCTGTTATCTGCTACGCCCTCTCACTCTTTGAGGAAGGCAGGGTTGTCACGCATTCCATTATTCTTCTCTTCTCACTGGCGGGGGAGGTGGCCATTGTGTGCATACATCGTGTGAAGGCAAAATTTCACGGCATAACAAACCGGGCGAGTGGGAAGAGGCGTGAAGTGAGTGTGTTTCACTCCCCCTCTCTTATTAATATGTTATTGGAGATGCTTGTATGGATCCTTCAATGCCCACCGCTTCCAGATGACATGAACCCTGAGTGGCTTGTGGGGCTGGATGGTTTTTTGATTCTTCGGTTCTATGTCTTCCTCCTGTATGGGACGCATGTCGCGCACACATCCGTTTTCTCACACGCCATTGCAAGTCTCGCTCGCATCCGATTAAACTATCGATTTTTCATTCGAACGGCCTTTCTTCTTGAGCACCTCGCTGTGACGCTGTGTGCCGTTGCTGCTGGAATATTCATCTTTGCTTGCTCCTACGCAAAGGCAGAAGGGGCGACCCTCGGTGAATCGTTTTATTTTTGCGTCAGCACTGCCTCACTCGCTGGATATAGTGAGACATCACCTGTCACCTTTCCAGGACGTGTAATCGCGGTGTGCGTCACCCTGCTTGGTGTCATTGTACTCTGCTGGACGGTGGGTGTCATGAATGAGGCGCTCTCGCTGACGGAAGCAGAGCGCAACCTGTACACACTCTTCCGCAACAATGAGCTTTGCGGCAAAATCCCACCGCAGGCGGCACGTCTTATTCAACGCACCTGGAAACTTTATCGGGCAAAGCGGGATCGACATAATTTCATCTCGCGCCAAATTGCCGCCTTTCTTCTATCTCAACAAGCCATCACATACCGTGGAATGCGGCGAGCACTGATACAGTATGAAACCGCTTTTCTTCTTTCCACACGTACACTTGAAGAGTGCCTGGCGTCTAACTCAACATTTGGATCGAACGGCACCACGCCGCTTGCGTCAAGCAACACATCGCCTCTTGGTTCTCCACGAACACGACGACCGTTTCCACTGTATCAAGAGATGCGTCTAAAGCGGGACTCACGCGCATCCACCCCGCGCGGAGACGGATTTCTGCAAGAATTTGGTAATGAATTCTCGAGTCATAGAAGTGAAAGGAATCGCTTCATGTCGACACCGCATTTACCGACCACACAACAACAACTAACTGCTGCCGTGCCTGGCATGGTGGAGCTGGAGTTGCGCCTCTCCAGGCTTGAAAAGTCACTAGAGGCGTTGGCAACTACCGCTGAGAGCCTGCGGGGACACCTTGGCGTCATCTCCAGTGTTTCTGTGTGATGTAATGAGAGTTTGAGTGGAGTTGTGGTGGTGGGAGGAGGTGTTACTGTTGCTGTTGTTTCTTCCTTGTTAAAATGTGTCTGTGGTTGAGGAGGGGTTCTTTTGTTGCTTGCGAGAGAGCGCAAGAGAGCCAAATGGCCATGAGGGAGGGAATTCAAGAAGACACAACAACAACAACAACCAAAAAAAAAAAAAAAAAGAATTTTTCCCGCCTTTTTTTGTTTGTTTCTGCAAGTGTTTTTCTTTTTTTTTTTCTCCTCCTGTAGGAGCATCAACAAGCGAGGGAGGCGGAGGGAAGAAGAATTACGAGGAAACACATAAACATAAGAAATCATTGTTTTGTTGTTGTTTTTTGGGGGGGTTTTGTTCTTCAGTAGTTCTTCTTTTCCTTTCCGTTTTGTCCCGTAAAGAGCGAGCGTCATGTGCGCAAGGAGAGTGCTAGCCATTGTGTGGCGCCATGACTTTTCAGCTGGATCTGCGTTTTTGTCTGTATGTGTGTGTGTGTGTGTGTGTGTGTGCCGTTGCTCCAACTAATGCGACTTCATTTGCAACGTGTTCCCCTTCTTCTTTCTCTGCGTTGTTGTTGTTCTTTTTTTTTCTTTTTTTTTTTATGTGAGAAGAAAAGGAAAGAGGTCCAAAGAGGACTTTCTCTATCTCTCTTCTTTCTATCAGAGTGGGGACGTGTGTGTTTGTGTGTGGAAAGAAGCGAGGACGCAATTAGGCATAAACAAATTGTACAAATAAACACGAGGAAACAATGACGCGGCAGTCCGATGTGCAGGAGTCGATGAAAAACATCTCCAGCCGTGTGGAGAAGGCGGTGGAGGTGCGCAAGTATGATGAGAAGGCGGTGCAGGAGCGGATGCGGAAACTCCACGCTGACATTCTCCAGAAGAAGCTGGCGGAGAAGAAGCGGATGGATGAGCTGGCGCAGATCCCGGTGGAGGAGGCGGACGTTGCCCTGTTGATGCAGGAGCTCGGTTGCGACCGCATGGCGGCGGAGCAGCGGTTGCGCGAAAAGAAGGGCGACCTCGTAGCGGTCCTGCGGGATGTCGCCGGTCTTCCGAAGGCGAGGGCCGCCACGGCGAGTGTGTGATGATCACTCAAAGTCACGTGTGGAGATAAAGTTGAAATATTTTAATTACATGATTTTCTTTTATTTGTCTCCTCGTATCCGCCCATGTGGACGAAACTTTTATTGGGCCGATTTGTTGCTGTTGGGTTTCTTCCCTCAGGCGTGCAGAGCAGTAGCCCCGCTACGTCGCCCAGGCACAGTTAACGTGGGAAGGAAGACACGGATACATGAACTGCATTAAAAGATATCTGAATATTTTGTTTTGGCTTCTCTTTCTTTTATGTGGTTTTTTTTTCTGTGTGTGTGTATGTGTGAAGTGAAAAGATGAAGGGTAGAAACGTACTTCTTTTTGCCTTTGTGCTGCTGCTGAACTTGCATATCGTGCCTTTCGCCTCCGCACAATCCTCACCGTCGACGTCGGAGCACATTATTGTGTTCGGTGGCCCCAATTGGGAGTTCGTGGTGCAAAATAAATTGACGGAGCTAAAGGCAGCCCTCATCAAGGACATTGGACCCCAGTTGCTGCGCAAGTATGCCTTTTTGACCATCATCAACGTGTCATCTGTGGAATTCAATAAAAATCTGAGGGTCCACGTCACCGTGCTGCAGGCTTTGTTAAGTAAGGGTCCCAGCTCACGTCTCCTGCACCTCTGGCCACCGGACGAAGCCAATTCTATGATCACTCAGGGCGCATTCAGCAACACACTGGCACTCTATCCAGGTCCGGAAAGGGCAACTGTCATCAGTGTGCAGTTGGCTGAAAAAGAAACTGGCTCCATTATCAGCGATGAGTTTCTATTAAGTCTGTTTAAGTTGGGCTACGCCATTCTCTCTCTCATGGCAGTGCTGCTTTTTATTGTGCTTGTGTGGATGTGCTGTCAGGGCTGTGGCAGCAAGCCCGTCGAAGAAGGCGCCGAACCGTATCCAGTCAACTGAAGGAAATTGACATGAAATAAATGAACTAAAAAAAAAAAGAAGTTGGGGGAGGGGAAATATCCTGCTATCCTTTCGGTTTGTTTGTTTTGTTTTGTTTTTTT